CCCCCCCCTTCCAGTAGGATATACTTGCCTTCCCTTTACTCCTCCACCACTGCGTTCAGTGCTGATACCTGGAGGAAATACCCCAGACTTCAGATATAGAGGAGCATGTTACTCCTCATTAGAGAGTTGGGCCTTAAACCTGTATAAGCCATGCCTCCAAGGATTTGTAGCTTACACAGGGCTTTTGTTTTTGTGGTGACTGAATGGAGCCATGGAGTAGTGAAATGAAGGTTAATATTGTATATGCTGCTGGAGAGATCTGCATTAAGGTAAACTTGTCATTTTGTCCTGCATAGGCATATTAGAGTTTCACTCTCACAGATTTGTATTAAGAACCGAACACAAAAAGGGAGTAATGGGGCAACATTATTATTATTAAGGATCTGATTGAGGGAGGAGATGACTCGGGTAGGGCATCACAATCCTCCAATATGCACACATGCAAAAGCCATATATTTGGCAAGTTTAGTTGAAAAGGCACTATCCAAGGTGCCAAATTTAGAGAAACTTAGTAGGCATGTCAGAGAGAATATTTGTTAACTTTGTATTAATCGTGATGACACTTGGCTTACAAGGGGCCTATTTATTAAAAAGGTTCTCTAAAGGAGAGACTGTTCCCATAGAAACCAATTATGCTGCTCTGCTTTATTCTGTGAAAATGAAGCAATGGGTCTGATTCGTTACTATAGGCAACTGTCTTTACTTTTGTTTGTTGTGCACCTCCTTCCGAATCAGTAGAATATAATAAGTAAAAAAAAAATCAATTTGCCAAAAATAAGTAAGTTACTCAACTTGGACAACAAAAGGATGATTCCCCGGAGGACAACCTGTGAGTCATGTGCCCATGGATCCCCCCCAGCAGCACACACATTAATAGATAGTAATTCTAGGTCTGTAACTAAGGCATATAATAGAACACAAAAAGCGGCCCGCACTCATAGAAAGTTACTTCAGACCATATATTTAGGAAATTCAAAAATGTATTATCACAAAAATTGCACGCAAAGTATATTGCACCAAAAGCCTTACAAAATTGACAACGTTATCAAATCATGCAAAACATCCACTCATTCCTGTAGGATTCCAAAAAATATCCACCTTGGGGATAATATAAATATACTGGGTTAGATCACTATTCTATTACTCAACTTGGACCCTAGCTTTCAGCTTTTCCCCATAGGCGCTGGTGACATTACTTAGCATTCTGGGAAAGCTTAGAATCCAAACTCTCGCAAGAATTTGCACAGCGATGTTGAATCCTCAGCTTTCCCAGGAGGTTGAATAAAATCACAGGGGCTTGCAAGATAAGTAACTTTTACTTTTTTGGTGGGTGTGTGTGAGTTTTTTTGTTTTTTTTAATTGTTTAATACATATTCTGTGGCTAGCAGGCTATCACTTGCTATTTTTTCCTGCAAGGTCTGCTTTAACTATGTTTACTGACGAGAACTTCCATCACTTGGCAATTGTAGCAAGTATAACAAAAAACATTTTGTGTTCTATGTCAACGCACAGCCCTTAAAGTGCTGTAATGAGCTATATTTGTGTACAGTTTTTCCATGTGCCGATCTTTGATCTTTGCACACGGCATTCTCAGAGGTAACAGTCTGACTAGTTTTCTATGCTATGAACCATTTGTGTTGGAACAAGATACCAACAAATAGGTACCCTATGAACAGCCCCAACCTTATGAACATTTCAGTTAAACATTTGACTGTGGCTTCTTTTTTTGGTTGTGGTTTTTTAAATTTTTTTTTACTTCAATTGATTTTTAGAATTCGACTTTAGCACAGTAGAAATCTGTCTACATACTGTATATACAGTAATTTAAATCTTTAAATCTTTATTCCTTTTTTTGTTATACAGCTCATCCACCAGGGGGCATCAATGCCAAACACTAATGATACTTAGAATAGAACAATGTGTCTTCATACACATTTTTGCAACGGAGGAAAGTAAAAGCACAGATTTTGCTTTTGATGATAAACATTTTTTTTTCATGTACCTTTTGCTTTTCCAGTTTCACTAAATACCAGCCTAATTTAGTAAAATAAAACATAATCATGTACTAGTTTCAGATTTGGGTGTTGACAGTATTACTTTAATTTAACGAATTGCTTACATGAACGAATTTGACTGCCCTGTTTACGGTAAGTCCATGCAGATTCTACCCACTGGATTGTTACGTCTCTCAGGAGCTCCAAAGGTGTCGTCTGATTAGAACTGTGGGTTTATTATGGTGCCAAGCCAGGGGGGTCAGATTAGAAGTGTGGGCTTATTATGGTGCAAGGGGGTGGGTCTCACACCTTTATGCTGTTCTCCAATGAATGTAAAACAAAAAAGAAAAACTTGTTGCAATAGTTATATACCCTTTTAGTGGTTGTTGAAAGTGGGCATAGCCAGGATGGTCTGGTAAACAGATCTTACCATCTTCGTACCCTGGAAAATATAAGAGGCCGGTAGAGGATTTACCTAGCCAGCAGCCACCAAGTGTGTGTGTGTGAGTGTGATATTCTCTTTTTAATAATATATTTTTGACTACCTGTATAATGGCAGTAAAATTTTCCTTTTTTTTTTCATTCGTTATGTGGAGCAAAGCAACAAATTGTGATATCCTTATATTTTATGGGCCTACGCCAATGCTTTTTTGTATCCTCAGTTTGTCTGTGGCCAGTAAGGAGAAGGTGCTATGGGGACGGCAGCAGTCCTGAATGCCTGGTGTTATAGTTATACCAGGATTGGTAATGTGAAGCTCGTTTGCAGTTGAGACCACATTTGGTATGCCACTGTGGGTCCAATGCATACATTTTAAAGTAGTTGTAAAGTGTTGATTATAAGAACAGCCCCAGTAACCTCAATCGATGTAAAGCTTACAAGACCACTTTTCTTTTTTCTTCTTTATTGAATATTTCAACAAGAAAAACAAGGGCACATTTTTACAATCACATAATGATCAAGGAGAGTAATCAAATAAACCAGTATAATGCTCAAAAAGGTTCAGTTGGCAATGACTGCTCATGTATATGATATAATGTGCATGTAAACATCAGCCTCAGCATTATTGAAGGCAATAAACAGTGTTTAAGGTATGAAATTAGACACTCAAACGGGCAACATAGAGAGAGGTAACAAGAGATGAGAGTAGGTAAAAAAGAGGGAGGAGAAGAGTGGAGAATAGACAAAAGACCACTTTTTTTTTAACCATTTCAGTGGCGAGCATATGACCAAGGATGATCCTTTTTCTGGTCTCCTTGACAGCTGTGGGTGAAGATCTAAACCAGCACCTTCACTGATGGGGGCAGGACTAGGCATGATGCGGCTTGTGGATAGGGCAAACCTCTTCCTCTGGGAGGAAGATTCTGCATCATAACGCTGCCAGCATTGAGACCAGATGTCGCCACCACACCAAGAATAAGTGTCAAAGCAAACCTCTTTACCTCTTTTATTGACGCATATCATCACAAGATTGCTAACGTTTCAGGGCCATGAAGGATCCCTTTATCAGGCTCAGTACGGACCCTGCGTGGCCCTGAAACAATGCCAACCTTGTCACGATATGTGTCAATAAAAGACATCTGCTTTGACACTTATCCTTGGTATTCTGGTCTTGTCTCTATACTGATCTCAGAGCCGCCATCTGCAGTCATTTCAGCACCCAATCCGGGATTTCATTTAGACCTGTTATAACGCTGCCAACATTGTCCCATAGTCTTGCCGCTTTCTAAAATTCAACAGCCAGCCCTTCTGTGTTATCACCTGAGAGAAGAAGTGGAACTGATGAGATTAACGAGTACTTTTTACATATATGGAGACTAAAAAGGAAGCAGTTTGGTTAGTATGGCTAAAGTGCTTTCTTTTTCAATTGTTTGCACTCATATTACCCTGGATATACCCTTTAAATGCATAAGAGCTCTTGCTGCCCCTAACAGCCTTTCAGAGTCTTTTTGACAGCAGTAGAAGTTGAAAGGGAGAGTCTTGGTTGACCTTTACAACAGATTTTGGATATATCATACACAGCTCGGTATTGTTAAGCATGTGGTTTACACTTTGTTTTCAGGGGATCGACAGCAGTTGATGGGGCAGGTTTTGGCATAGATCGCCCAGCAGAATTATCAAAGAGTGACGATGAATATGAAGCTTTTAGGAAAAGAATGATGCTTGCTTATCGTTTCCGACCCAATCCACTGGTAAGTCAATATTTGAGGTGACTTTGAAAAGCTGTTGTAGTTAATGTGACTGTGGAATTTTTCATTCTGGAAATTTAAGAACATTTTTAGACAAGGGGAGGGCTGTTGTTTCCGTTTTTGGTCTTTCTTCATAGCACCTCACTCTCATATGTCTTAAGAGTTTGAATCGTTAAAGCTAAACTCCAGGCAAACAGTTAAGTACATTGATGAAAATATAAGGGAGCTGTTTTACCTGCTACAGTATGTGTATTTCTGTCCATCCAGTTCTGAGATTTACACAACAGCCACAAGACAGGACACAAGACAGGAGACCTGATTTGTCTCTACTGCAGTTCAGTAACATTTACAGTTCTTGTCACTTCAACTGCAATAATGAAAGGAGAGGCAGCAAAATCATGAGCACTGCAGCAACATTTATAGGCTCTCCATGCTGCTCTCTCTTCTCCCAGGCTGAGCTCTGCTGCATATGGACTACTAGAGGCTGATATCAAATAAAATGCAGGTGCTTACACTGCCTATATTTAAAAAAAAAAAAATAATTACTGACCTATTAATGAATATATAGCTGCATTAATTTTTGTATTTTATATCTGCCTGGAGGTGAGCTTTAAATGCTAAAAAGCAATATTTTATTATAACCAATACCATCTTTTTAATTGTAGTTTTCTGTGAACTAAATATGTAAAGCGATTGGATGATTTAGACAATGTAATAGTGATCTTTATGAGCACACCATAAGCAGCACCAAGAAAGCTCACACTTAGCTTTTATCACGTAACTCACAGAATGAAGATCACGCTATTACAATAGATGTTAATGCTGCACATGTTTTAATCCCATTCTACAATCTCCTTTTAGATTTACCAATAATTGTATAGTCCATGAGCCTACCTAATTGGATTTAAATTGTCTGGCTTGTTTAGCTGTCCCTGGTACTACATAGTTGCCGGTAAACCTAAATTAGATTCTTCGATTAGATAGCGGTGCATGTGTGGCAAACTTGTTGGAAATTTGGGTCAAGAAGTTTATTAATTCCCCATTATTAGATACATTTGATTTCAACATGTTCAGATTAAAATCAAAATATGGCACTAGTTATTATTATTGGTATTTATATAGCGCTGACAATTTACATTCAGATCAGTCCCTGCCCTCGAGGAGCTTACAATCTAAGGTCCCTATCTCGCATGCACACATAGAAGGGCCAATTTAGAAAGGAGCCAATTAACCTTCCAGCATGGCTATGGGAGTGTGGGAGGAAACTGTGCTGCCCCACTAATTGCTGGATCAGACCATGCCGTTTAGGGTTGTTTTTGGTGAAGGGTTGAACTGTGTTCATAGAGTAGCTCATCATAAGGGGGGATGTTACACATTTAAGGGTAAAACACGTAAATAACACCCTAAATTAATTATATGAAACACAGAATATAGAGGAAGAAATATCACTATAAATGGGGAGGGAGACGGTTCTTAAAGAAGCCAGGTAGGCCATGAGGGAAGTAAAATGTAAGATTTGGTAAACATTTTCTGGAGATTGGTTGGGGTAGACTTTGGAATGTAAATATATGGATTAAGTAGTGAGATTCAGCAGTATTCTAAATGTTGGAATGTATGTATGTGGATGTATAATTCATGTTTTGTAAATTATTAGTATTAATCATGTTGTTGTAAATTATTATAAATTGTGTAAAATATTTAATAAAGAGGAATAAAGAAAAAAGAATAGCGCATCATTATTAACAGAATGTATTCACTTATACCATTATATGTTTGTTACATTTGCAGAACAACCCAAGACGTCCTTATTACTGATGGACCAACGGAGCTTACCACATACTTTGAACTCATCCACATCTGAAGTGTACTGTGTCCATCTTGTTTGCGGGTTGTTAGAACCTATATGTCAAACTGTGTACAGGAAAACTTGATCTATTCCAGCAGGAGTTTAGCCCTGGATGACCACACAGCTGTATCCCAGTTTACCCTCACACAGTCGATGTTTTCCCTGGAAAACATGAATTTAATAAAAAGCTTTTTAACTCTGAATAATTGGCCTCTTCTGTCATGTGAATTAGAAAGCATGGAACATTTCCCAGTTTAGGAGAAACCGAATGAGAGTTTGGAATGGCACTGAACACTGTTTTTATATAATTAGGAAGGACAAAGCATGCTTGGAACAGCATTGTTGTTAGTATTGCTGCTTAACAAAATAACAGACCCTGATGATCCCCTGGCAAATGCGAAAATATTCTTTAGTATAGTTTTAGTTGTGTGTACATTATAAAAAAAAAAACAGAAATGGTTGCCAGAAATCTGTCTTGGCCTCTCACAATTTCCTACACAGTAGAACTTAGGTTAAACGCTAATCCATGGATCATGGGTGCAATGCTTCATCTCCTGCAGACTGTTCCTCCCAGGCCCTGCCAACACCAAAGTATGGAATTTCAGCTAAGAAATGGGAGGAAGAATGGACTACAAATGCGGTGATGTCACTACACTTGTACTCCGTTGAGATCTGCAAGTCTCTCTGCCACAGTGGCTGAAAAAACTTTTAGTTTCTCATTTCACACATCCTGTCAAAGGATCTGTGAATGGATGACATGGCTGTGCGGACGCAGCCACACGCAGCCACTCCAAATTCAAATTGTGACATGAGCCTGCGGGGAGTAGAATCCTACGATTTAGGTATGGGGGTGGCAGAATGGTGGTGTGGAGCTGGAGATGTGACCATGTTGCACCATGAATATGGGTTTGACATGGTTTTAGAAGTAAACTTGGCCTTGTGTAAGTGTAAATTGGATGTGGTTGGATGTGATTGTTGGTGCTTGAATGCTCAGGAGTAAGGATGTGCAGGTGCTTGGTGCGAACCCAATTCTCCAGAGTTTGTCCAAGCCTTTGCAAAACTGTGACCGACACACACCCTCCTGACCCCATTAGTTATGACAGGGGTGTTCCCCCATCCTTTTGTATCATGTAGCTACAGAGTGGGGAATGTCCCAGCTGATTGGGACAGGTGTCAGTTAAATTTTTGCGTCACTTAGGCAAACTCGGTTGAATTGGGTTAGCACCAAGTCCCCCACATATGACATTATTCGGGAGTCTTGAGATGTGTGATCAGACCAAAAGAGTTTTCCCAACTTGTCAATATTTACCTTATACAAATGGGGTAGAAGGATTTGGAGAGTTACCCCTTTCAATTTTGAGTCGGGATCACGCATTATTGTGCCACGTGGTGATGGAACTTTTGAAACACTGCACTCTTAAAGAATAGTTAATAGACACTTTATATCACAGGAGTAGACAACCTCGGCACTCCAGCTGTGCTGAAACCACAATCCAATCATGCCTCTGGGAGTCATGCCTGTGGCTGTCAGTCTTGCAATGCCTCATGGTATTTACAGGTATACCTCCTGGTATATTGTCTTAACACGCTTCTAATATGAACAGACATTGAACTGGTGTAGACTCTTCTTGAATGTATAAAGCCAAAACTTTTTTCAATTTTGGATAGAATAGGGAATAGCTACAACCACTATATTTTTTATGTTTGCCTTCACTTCCTGTCCTGTAATTACAGGTGAGAGCAAATCTCACTGCGAAGTAAATCTTAGTGGTCACCGGAGCAGATTTCCCCGCTATTCCTGTTCTGGTGGCAACTCAAAGTTTTTGATTATCCCTCACTTTTAAATAGAGACGGTAAATCCCCATAGTAGGGATTGTAACACTGTCCAAAACTTAAAAAAAAGGTTTTGCCTTCAGATCTATCTCAAGTGATGCAGATAAGGTTTTGCCTTCAGATCTATCTCAAGTGATGCAGATAGATAGCAATACATGCAGGTCAGAGGTTTTATCAATTGCCCCAAAAAGATCCAAGGCTGTCATATGCAGCCTCTTACCCCCCAATATGCTCCGGCAGTTGGCGGCTCGCCGACGTCCTCTTGTACAATGCAGGACCTATGGCCCTGCATTATAATTTCCCCTGGAGATGGGCTTTAAAGTTATTGCTGTCTGTTTCCATGGGTAGCATTTTCCCTCACCTCTTATATGTAACAGCCATTAAATAGGAATTGAAGGGAACTCTTCCCAAACAGACAAATATGTCAGTGGGCCTACTGTAAAAACAAATCCCTGGCATTGGGATATGCCTGTACATACTTTGCTTCCTGTCACAGCAGAGCACATTGGGAGCTCACAAACCCAAGAGGAATGCGATATGCAAACAGCCACTTTCTTTAAGCTAGAGTTATGTTTATTCAGGCAGTGAGATATAAGAGACAAGAATATGTTCATAAATCCAGGGATGAAGACAGTTAAAGAGCTATATCTCCAAGGCAGAGTCTGGCTGGGTCAAGAGTCCTGTGTGTGTGTGTGTCTGCAGTATACGTGATAAGGAAAAGGCCATAGTCCATGCACAACTCATCATTCACTGGTCTGTGGTAACAGGTCTCACAATAGGAACCTTTCCTATGACAGTGGAGGGTCACATTGCCCTTTAATTACCTTTCTTACTCAGCCTGTGGGATGACATCATTCACATTTCTTTACAAAGTGTTACTTTGCCCTTTTTGTATTCACTAGATCTCTTATCTATGTATGTCATTACTTCTTCTGCTTGCTTGTAATTTTGATTTACAGATTCCACTATGTAAAAGTTGCAAACAACATTCACAAAAACATCTATAATTTTACAAAACTAAGCACTAACAAACACCTTTGGGACTAATGTGGAGGAATCTGTTAAACACATATTAAAGGGCACGTCTTCTTTCCCAGGTGTATGTGGGAAAATTGAATTACCCCCTTCAATCTGGCCCCTTCCCCGCAATACTTGCTTTTGGGCAAACCCTCCTTCCCCTCTGCCGTGCGGGTGTACAATCCGTACTAGGGCTGCAGCTATTTTTTCGATTTAATCGATTAGTTACATTAAAAAAAATCCCCCTCTCCCCCAACTAATTGATAATGAGAATAGTTGCCAACTATTATAATCGATTATCGATTTAATCGATTAGTTGCAGCCCTAATCCGTACCCCCTACTGCCATATAGCGCAGGCCTGCACTATGCATTTTGGATTTCACTCGCACATGGCGAGCACCTCTTGGTCAGCGCATTTAGAAGCACTTTTCTTTGGTCAGGTGACCAAGGAGTGCTCGCCATTTGCGGGCAAAATGCATAGTGCAGGGCTGCGCTATATGGCAGTACGGGGTACGGATTAGGGATGCAACAATTTATCAATTAAATCGATTATGAGAATAGCTGGCAACTATTCTCATCATCGATTAGTTGGGGGAGGGGGATTTTTTTTTAATGCAACCAATTGATAATGAGAATAGTTACCAACTATTCTCATAATCGATTATCAATTTGATCGATTAGTTGTTGCAGCTCTACTCTGTACCCCATACTGCCATTTGGGCGAACGCTCCTTCCCCTCCGCTGGTGCACTATCTGTATCCCGTACTGCCATATAGCGCAGCCCTGCATTATGCATTTTGAATTTTGCCCGCAAATGGCGAGCACTCCTTGGTCACCTGACTTCTAAATGCGCTGACCAAGAAGTGCTCGCCATTTGCGAGTGAAATTCAAAATGCATAGTGCAGGGCTGCGCTATATGGCAGTACGGGATACAGATAGTGCACCAGCGGAGGGGAAGGAGCGTTCGCCCAAAGGTAAGTATATCAGCGGAGAAGGGGCCAGATTGGAGGGTTAATTCCATTTTCCCAGATTCACCCGGGAAAGTGGACTTACCCTTTTAAGCTGGCCATACATTGCTCGAATTTCTGCTGAATCGACACAAATTCAAGCAGTGTGCGACCCCATTGGCCCCCCTCTGTAAATTTTTTATCAAATTTGTTGGAAGGAGCTAGTCTGAAAATTATTAGTCGAACAGTGACCGTAGCCAACTGCAGTCACTGTTGGGTATTCTAAGGTAGAATAACGTCTCTTTATTGACGTTTCATGCAACAACACTTATTGCAACGTTTCGGGGTCACACAGGATCCCCTTCATCAGGCAGAACAAGTGAGACTTGTTCTGCCTGATGAAGGGGATCCTGTGTGACCCCGAAACGTTGCAATAAGTGTTGTTGCATGAAACGTCAATAAAGAGACGTTATTCTACCTTGGAGTGCCGGTGTCCATAATTTCCTATATTCAATTCAGACGGTGGCCATCCGTCGACTACTGATGCACCCAACCTATCATTACGGATTAGCGGTAAGGAGTGCAATGAGTACACGGATTGTTGTTGGGGTATTCTGACGTCGGTACACGCACCACACAGTCCTAAACAGCATGAATAGGGGGAAAATGGCAAGTATATGGTCAGCTTTACTGACCACCGCGTGCATTTCTGATCCATTAGCCATTCGAGAAAAAACAGCCAGTGTATGGAAGGACAAACTAGGCAATTGCCTAGGGCGGCAGTTTCCAGGGGGGCGGCAAAAAAAAATGCTGCCTCAAACCAATGAGGCGGAGTGGGCCGGACTTACCTTTGGGCATACTGGGAACTTGCCCAGTGGGCTGAGGCTGGGCAGCACAGAATCAGGCAGCGGCGGCTGCCTAATGAGGCAACATAGGCGGCCACAAGGCCCTAAAAGCGGCTGACTAATTAGAGAGCTGCGGATGGGAGGGCAGTCCGGCTGGCTTTGTACAGGAGGTAGAGGAGAAGCAGCGGGTGGATCGGGGCTGGCCATGTGATCGGATTGTGGGATGTCCCAGAAGCAGGCTGGGGGACTGCAATGTATCCTGTTGGTACTGATGGCACTTCAGGCTGCAGGTAAGAGCAGCAACACATGTACTGTATCAGGGAAAGGGACTCTGCACAGTCCTCCTGAGACCCTGCACAGCACACCATAGACCCTGTACAGCCCACCAGAGACCATGCACAGCTCTCCTGAGACCCCATGTGTGCTGTATCCAGTGACTGACAGGTTTGCGCAAAATGTCCTAAACAGGATGGGGTGGGGCAAATTTAGACTGAGGGGGGTGCCCGAGTTTAGTCTTGCCTAGGGCTGCACAAAACCAAAATACACCACTGAGTGTATGACCAGCTTTACTGACCACCGCATCCATTTCTGATCCTATTAGCCAAAGAGAAAAAATGGCTAGTGTATGGCCAGCTTTATTGACCACCGCAGGCATTTCTGATCCCATTAGCCAAACCAGAAAAAACAGCCAATACAGGGCCAACTTTACTGACCGATGCAGGCATTTCTGCTCCTATTAGCAAAATGAGGAAAAACAGCCAGTGTATGGCCAGCTTTACTGACCACCGCAGGTATTTCTGATCAAATTAGCCAAACATCTGCTCATTCAATAATGCTAAACTCTTGGCAGACATAAAAATATCTAATTAATCCAATTTTGGATTAAATAAAGGAGAGCTCCAGGAATTAACTTTGGAAAGGACAGTGTAACGTAATTGTAATGTAAACAGGGCCTGATTTTTCACAAGGCCAAGGGGCAGCAGGGGTGTGTAATCTCCCGACGCCTGGAACATGAAGTGCTGGGCGGGTAGTTGTTTTTATACATTTAGCCCTGCTTTGGGCAAGCAGGGCTAAATGTACAACAGGGAAGCTCCTCATTTGTTTACAAGTGATCTCTGCGATGTCACCGCTATCACTTGTATGCAGCTTGCTCGTCTGTCCTCCCCCGCCATCCCTCCTGCGAGGTGCAGGAAGGAGAGGAGGATGTGTGTGGATGGTCGGTGGGGTGCAGGAAGAAGAAGAGAGTGGGATGGGTATTGATTGCCGGCACATTGCAGGAAGGAGAGGGGAATATGTATGGACAGCTGTTGAGAAGCAAGAGAGAGAGGAGAGTGGGGAGTCTATGGATGGCTGGCGAGGTGCAGGGAGGAGAGGAGGATGTGTATGGATGGCCGTTGAGGTGCAGGCAAGAGATGAGAGGAGGGTATGGATGGCTGCCGAGGTGCAGGAGGACAGTTGTTGAGATGCAGGAGGGAGGAGTGGCTGGAAAGGTGGAGGAAGGAGAGGAGGATGCGTTTGGATGGACGGCAAGGTGCAGGATAGGGGGATGTGTATGGACCGCTTTTGAGGTGCAGGAGGGAGAGAAGAGTGGGGAATCCATAGACTGATGGTGAGGTGCAGGATGGCGGCGAGGTGCAGGAAAGAGAGGAGACGGGGATGTGTATGGACAATTGTTGAGATGCAGGAGGGAGAGGAGAGTGGTGGGAGTCTATGGACAGCCGACAAGGTGCAGGATGGCCAGTGAGATGGAGAGGAGGATGGGATATGTATGGATGGCTGGTGAGGTCCGGGCAGGAGAGGAGAGGGGGATGTATTTGGATGGCCAGCAAGGTGCAGGAAATAGGAGGGGATGTGTATGGACAACTGATAAGATGCAGGAGGGAGAGAAGAGTGGGGAGTCTATGGACGACTGGTAAGGTGCAGGAAGGAGAGGAGGATGTGTTTGGACACTGGCAAGGTGCAGAAAAGAGAGGAGAGGGGGATGTGTATGGAAAGCTGTTGAGGTGCAGGAGGGAGAGGAGAGTGTGGAATCCATAGACATCTGGTGAGGGGCAGGATGGACAGGAGGATGTGTTTGGATGGCCAGCAAGTTGCAGGAAGGAGAGGGCGAAGTGTATGGACACCTGTTGCGATGCAGGAGGGAGAGGAGAGTGGGCAGTCTATGGACAGCTAGCAAGGTGCTGGAAGGAGAGGAGGATATGTGTATGGACAGCCAACAAGGTGCAGGAAGGTAGAGAGGTGATGTGAGCAGAGGGGGTTGTGTATGGACAGGCAGAAGGGTGCAACAATGCAGAAAGGAAAGGAAATTAGAGGGGAATGGCTCCATCCTCCGCTTGTCCTCAATTTTTAATATAGTCCAATTTATTAAATTTAGGTTGGGTTAGATTACCTCAGATTTGCACCAAAATTTTGGTGAATGCTGAAGTAAAGGCACTTAAATTTGGCACATCACTAACATGCGTAAAATTTGCAAAAATTTTAAAATTTACCACAGAATGATATTTAAGCAGGCATATATAAATTACCACGTTTTTGACGTGCACCAATCTTTGGTTAAGTGTTTATACTTGTATTGCATGTGTTGCCTCTGGGCATGCTATGGTTAATAGATCTATTATCAGTAGCACAGCTATGTTGCAACACCAGTTAGCAATGAAGAGAGAGTGAACTTTGAATAGGTAGAAAACTGTGCTGCTCTCCCCCACCCGCTGCTATCTTTCAGCCTTAGCCACAACTTATCTTCCCGGCTTCCCTCACTTGTATGCCGGAAGAGAGTGTGCAGCCATGGGTCTCCCGGAGCCGGCTGGGCCCTTGCTGCTCTCCCTCACTGCTATCCCTGTGTCGTATGTGGTGAATTCCATGAGTGCAGCCTCTGAGTGAGTATTGAACTATGTGGTATTATATTATACAGGATTTATATAGCGCCAAAAGTTTGCACAGCGTTTTTCAATATAAGGAGGACTTTACAGTTACAATACAAATCAAGACAAGATGGTAAGGGCCCTGCCCTTGAGAGCTTACAATCTAAAAAAGCTATGATTGAAGACTTGATCTGGGACAAAGTTGACTTAAGTACTGCAAGCAGTCACCTCTGTGTAGTCACCAGCTCTGCCTAACTAAAGGGCTGACAACAAGCTCCTGTATTTTATTACTATATTGTAAGAGCTTCATTGATTTATATAGTACTGTGTGTGCTACTGTCAGGAAGTACTTGTACAGAGCTTCCTGTCAGTACAAACCATACCTGCCAACTTCCCCTCATTTAAGACAGACTGTTTCTCTTTGGAACCAAAATCCCTCTGTACCTGTTTCCTCAGTTGTCCCTCTTTTTGCTCTGATGCATAAACCTCAAATAACATGTATTTTTAAAAAACTATCTAATGTTTTTTTACGGCAGTACTTTCCTCCAGCCTTTCAATTAATGCATTTGTTGTTTTTAAAATCCAGTATAAAGGAAAAGTAGTGGTGAAACAAAACTCTCGCCAGTTTTTGCATAGAAAATCTTCATGGGCCACATAAAGTGGGTATGTCCTTTATTATATATCCTATTAGTGATGTGCAGGGGCCTGGTGTGAACCCATTTCAGCCAAGCTCATGTAAAACTGTGACTGACACACACCTTTCTCAAATCAATTATTCCCCGCAGCTACACAAAGAGGTGGTTGCTGCCACAAATGAGGGGGATGTGTCAGTCACAGTTTTTGCGCAGACTTGGATTGACTAGGTTTGCACTAAGCCCCCGCAGATCACTGCATCCTATTCTTAAAAGGTTGTTACACTGCATCGGTGGCCCCACAATCTATAGGTACCGCACCCCAAAATGACCGTTTAGACCATACCAATTCAAGAAAAAGGTACCATTCAAACACAATTGCAATCAATAAAATGGTTATGAGTTTAAAGCACAACTTGATTTGGTATGGTCTAAACCAGGGCTCAGAATTTCCACTCGCCTGCTCGCATTTGGCGAGTGGAAATGCAGTGCAGGCGAGTTGAAATTCAGTCAGGCTTGAGTCAGTACCTGACTATTGGGAGCAGCTGCTCCTGCTGGGCTCTCTGTTCTGTCAGCCGCAGCTCCGGGTTGAAAACGGAGTGATTCGTAATGTCTGCAGCAATCTTTGGTTAAGTGTTTATACTTGTATTGCATGTGTTGCTTCTGGGCATGCTATGGTTAACAGATCTATTCTCAGTAGCACAGCTATGTTGCAATACCAGTTAGCAATGAAGAGAGAGTAAACTTTGAATAGGTAGAATCACACTAGATCACCAGATTTCTGCCTGCTCGCCTCCTCCCTGCAGAAAGACAAGCAGGTGAGGGGCTTCATTGTTTTACTTTACATGGTCCGGGTTACATGGTGGGGGATGTTAATATTTATTTTTGTAACTTTATTTTGCATAAAACATCTAACAGTGTAATTTATAAGATTATTTAAGAGGGTGTGTTTAGGGGTGGAGTTAAGGCCGAGGCAGGGTAGGGTGGGATTCATTTGGAAAAGGATGGAAGTTTGCATCTGTCCTGGCCTACTCCACTTCTTACTCTGTTCTACGCTGCCACAGCTAAAGGTGGCCATACACCTTACAACCGGTGTACAACTTTTTTTGTCCAGACACCTCACCCTCATTCAATTTTCGTTCAAACAGCCCATCATGCACAGGTCAATGTAGTTCGCAATTAACGTTCGTCAGCACCACTAGCGGGCCGATTTTCATTGATTGAAAGAACAGATTTTCGTTTGAGCATGTGCAGTTTTTGTTGTACAGAAACACCACTAACCCGTTAATTTTTGTCCAAGTAGACAAAAATGTTCTAGCCTGCTTGAAAGACGAAAATCTGCCAATTGTATAGTAATTGCGATTGTGCACTTCCCATCAACTGGCAGATTTTCAGACGAAAATGTGATAATTATAAAGTGTATGGGCACCTTTAGGCTCCGGATGTGATGGTAGGACTCTGATATCGAGGGGTACTGAGGACTCTTGAGGCAAAAGGGAACTTCTGATATAAAGGGGGCTCCTAAGGTGAAGTGGGGAAATCTGATCTGAAAGGGGAGACTCTGATGTGAAGGGGGCTTCTGATGTTAAAGAGGGGCTCCTGATTTGGAATTTGGAATATAGCCTCACTTTCATTCCCGGTGACATTTGTGATCAGAACAATTAAAGAAGTGAATTTCCCTAATGGGGACACAAACAGTAAAAACCTAACAGTGGTTCTAACCCTTCACCCCTCTAAATCCAAATCTAAAAAAGTTTCGCCTTTAGTTATACTTTAACCCTAAATGATGGCCCTAAAATGATTCTTTTACCTCTGGCATATGTGGGAGTTCTTAATATTTGTTTTAATTTAAGTTTTTAAACAGCTTTAGTATATTATATTGTAAACAGTTTTATGTTATGTAATTTAAATGTATTGCAATCACAAGAAAGCTGACAAGCCCCCCTTGTGCTACTAAAGGGTTAAGGTCTCTTAGACCCTGATGCATTCTCTGCACCTAGCCCATGCAAATCAGGTAAAGAGAAGCCTATGCCACCAGTGAAGGGCTGAACTTGGAGGTACTTAGAATTGAGAGCTTCCAAGCTCAGTCATCCTGAATACCCCTTCAGCAGTCCAGGTTTAATCATCCTGATTACCCCTGCAGTGGTCTAGGTTTAATTATCTGGAATACCCTTGCAGTGGTCCAGGTTCAATCATCCTGAATACCTCTGCAGTGGTCCCTGATTGTGCAGTCAGCAGAACCGCTACTCCAATAAATTAGCTAATTTTAAAATAAGTTTATACCTGCTTGTTGCAGTTATTTGTTGGAAGGGACGTCCCAAGGTCAGAGAGACCATTAGCATTACAGCTAAGCAACAAGCAGAGCAATGTAATCCCCCCATACTTCTCTCTGATGACAGATGTGTTTTAAAACTGCATTTAGGCTTTAGGTTAAACATAAGTAAGTGTCCCATATAGCATTTGTTTTACAGTGGCATGAGGTCTATTGAATAAAACATGGAGATATGATGTTCTGATCTAAAGTACAGGTTCTTGGTAAAGGGATAGTTTCCCAGCAGAAGTTTCTAATAACTCACATTTCAGAGAAAAATGATATTATATGGTAGCTGTAAAGATAGATATTATCCAGAACTTATTTTACATAAATTGTTATTCACATCTGTTTCAGGTGGATTGCAGGTCAATTCTTACCATCCATTTACCCGTTGCCTGCATTATAACTTGTACAGATAGGTGGATTTCATAAATTCAGGCATTAGAGTTCTAGCTATAAATTTAATCTGACATCAGAATCTCAGCAGGGCCAGCTCAACAAAGTGCAGGGCCAAAGGTGGATATGAATGTAGGGCCTCAGTGCAGCTTTTATTATTCAGTATGTTGTCAGCTTAGGGTTGCCAACTGTTCTTATTATAAAGAATGTTTGTTTAATTTAAGTAAAAATGTTTATCTCAGTCTGCAATGCTCAAATAATGTATAGACAGAAATCCTATTCAAGCTGTTTAATGGAGTTTTTTTTCTATAAGCTGATGACCCACTAAACCCCAACCCTGTGCCTTGTTTTATACGAGGGATATTGCAGCTTTTTGTCAGCTCCTAGTGTCTGCCAAAAAGCATAGTGCTATTTTTTGGTGTCAGGAAATGAGAAATGTCAAATTTCATGTTAGCAAAACATAACACCAGTCATGAATTATAATAAGGGAATGATAGGCGGCTGCCCGGGGCCCCGAGACTACTGAAACTTTACAACTTTTCTTCTTCTTCTTATTAATAAATATTATTATAATGCAGGATTTATATAGTGCCAACAGTTTGCACAGCGCTTTACAAAATGGAGGGAGACAATACAGTTAACAATACAATTTCAATACAGGAGAGTTAAGAGGGCCCTGTTCGTGAGAGCTTACAATCTGTGCAAGTGATATAAAAGGTAATAATTGTGTGGGATATGGTAATGGAAGAATTGAAAGGTCGGTTATATAGGAGGTGCATTATCCAGTTAATATAGAAGTATTGTTCAAGAATAATAATATAGTTAATATAAAATATTGTTCAAGAATAATAATAATTTGAATAAATTATGATTGATTATATATATATATATATATATATATATATA